AATAAAATTCATCACATTTGATTGATAAATAAAAAATGAGCCTTGGAATTCTTTAAAATGTTCATATGGAACAACAACCACAGATGCAGCGTTGGCTAATGCGTGGTCATAAAACAGTTCTAACATTTCTTCGATGCAAAAATACCCACATATCTTTAGCGAGGAATAATGGACAAACATATTGAAGACATGAAACATTGCAACAGGTGCTCAAGGCTTCTTTATTTCATCTTTAGTAAAGATCAAATACAGTACAGTATTGCACTTTACAACATGAGTATGTTGGCTAAAACACTGCGTGCAAGCATGCATGTGTGCACACGTATGCATGTACGCATGCACGTCCACGCACACACACGTACGTCTTCCACGTGACAGCACCGCGGGAGATCTTGTCATCAGAGAAACTCAAGATATAGTCAACAAAAACTATGTAAGCGTCAGTTATATACAAACAGGCATATGTGAGCTTGAAACTTGTGTTTGCAATTGCTCTTTCTTCATAAGTTCACATTTTCCCAACACCATGTGAATTGAGTCATCTAATACAGCTCATAAATACCTTTCAGTGCTGATAAACATATTTATAATCACTTACATCTGTCACTCTATAAATCAAACTTATGCGAGTAAGTAATTATCAAAAGAAGGCACCAAGCTGGGGAAGGCTATGTAGCACCGTCAAAAGTGCGAGATCTTCAAAAGGCGCTAAATATCTCTAAGGATCCCAATACGAGAACAAACGCGTATGAGCCGAACAACATCAAAGGCATCCAATACACTAAGGATACTATCGAGAGACAGGTGGCTGCGACAGACTTATGCAAAGTTAATATTACTACACTATTACCTAATTGCTACTTTTGATAGATTCACAAGTCTTCCTATTTCCTCTGAGTGGAATATAAATCAAAAAAATTTATACAGTATATATATTAAGTTTAATAATCTATTTTAGACAAGGACAAAAATATAGTGTATAATGATACAAAGTTGATGAAAGCATGTAAACCAGAGCCACTCAGGAAGAGCTGCAGGTTCGTGCCCCATCGACAAATGTGCATGATTGCATTCAAGCAAATGTGCACACAAGGATGATTTTGTATGAATCTAACATACATTACAAACATTTAAACTTCTATCGCAAAAGAAAAACTTCACCTATAAAAGGTCAATCTTAAACAGTATACATGCTAGTCAAAACACACACACACGGCTAAAGAGATTTTTCTTTTCATTACAATGGCATTACCCATATTAGGGTCTTAAAACAATAACTAATAGTATCACCGAGAAAAAACCATGTGTCAAGAACAACAGCCTTGGGGTTATGTTTTCCCCCACAACCTCCCAGCGGACACAATATTCACGAGTGGCGATGAATTAAAATTAATTCAACGTTGACGACGTTCATTCATCATTGCTCTGTGGATACTGTGTCCATTGGGAAAATTCCGGTGATTACATGGTGTTAAACTTAACTATACCCATTACCTGCTGCCAGGGCCAAAAATAATGGAGAACGCTCAGGCGGCGAGTCCAGTTGGAATGTCGCCTTTCGCACAAACTAGGTGCAATGCATTCATTTTCACAATGCAAAATTCACGAACCTTAGGAAATATGCAACAGGTAGTCAGTATCACATTTACTCTTACACAGTGGTTAAACTTACTCCTATTTTGTTTGCAGGTGCAGTGGCTGCATAAGCATTTGAAATAAAAATGTTGAATTAAACTACTGTACTGTAGCTCGTGGAAAAACAAAATATATCACATCGCCAATAATTTTCACGCGTCTTTACCATATGAAAAATCAATTTTGTAAACATCAATAGAGAGAGAGACATATACTTAGAGAGAGACTTAAAACATATAATAACCCTAGACCTGTCAACAGTTTCTGAATTTCACAGCTAAAGTAACTACCTACCTTACAGTGATACAGTATTCCATTTTCAGTATCAGCAATAAAAGGCAAATCTGTACATTTTTTTTATACATAATTTACAATATCTAAGTAGTTAAAGAAACTAATTTTAAGGCTTCGAGCAATAACTTGTAACGATGTTGAGAAAAACACCACACAGGTATTATAATGAACTTCGTTGTGGAAGAAATTGGGTGAAAGTCTTGCAAGTGAAATATTATCCTCACAAGTACAACATGCCCCCAAGCAGTCATCATTATAGTGTGTATAAACCTCAGTCATCAATTGTCATCAATTGTTATCCACAATTATGTTCATGTTCCAAAATGGAATCTTTCTCAACAACCTACTCTTAATATACAAGATATAATATTAAAATATATATACAGTGTGTGTGTGTATGTATGTATGTATGTGTGTATAATGTATATATAATATATATATATATATATATATATATATATATATATATATATTTTGGTAGCAGTCTTTCCTGTAGACATATATATTAAATATGACCGAAAAAGTAAGATTAATAATTCTAACACGAATTTTCTCAATCTTTCGTACATTACGCTTCACTGTTGGAGGTAAATCAAAAATCACTTCTCCAAAATTCATTTTATTTCTAGTCTGACGCGACACGGGCGCGTTTCGTAAAACTTATTACATTTTCAAAGACTTCACAAATACACAACTGATTAGAACTCACGTATCTCTGCTATTATATCTACATTTGAGTGAGGTGGGAGGGATGATGTGGCATATAGTGATGTGGCATTAACACAAGACAGAACAAGAGGGGATATTAATAGGGTATTAAAAGTATCAACACAAGACAGAACAGAAACAATGGGTATTGAATAGAAGTGTTTGTAGAAAGCCTATTGGTCCATATTTCTTGATGCTTCTATATTGGAGCGGAGTCTTGAGGTGGGTAGAATATAGTTGTGCAATAATTGGCTGTTGATTGCTGGTTTTGACTTCTTGATGTGTAGTGCCTCGCAAACGTCAAGCCGCCTGCTATCGCTGTATCTATCGATGATTTCTGTGTTGTTTACTAGGATTTCTCTGGCGATGGTTTGATTATGGGAAGAGATTATATGTTCCTTAATGGAGCCCTGTTGCTTATGCATCGTTAAACGCCTAGAAAGAGATGTTGTTGTCTTGCCTATATACTGGGTTTTTTGGAGCTTACAGTCCCCAAGTGGGCATTTGAAGGCATAGACGACGTTAGTCTCTTTTAAAGCGTTCTGTTTTGTGTCTGGAGAGTTTCTCATGAGTAGGCTGGCCGTTTTTCTGGTTTTATAGTAAATCGTCAGATGTATCCTCTGATTTTTGTCTGTAGGGATAACGTTTCTATTAACAATATCTTTCAGGACCCTTTCCTCCGTTTTATGAGCTGTGGAAAAGAAGTTCCTGTAAAATAGTCTAATAGGGGGTATAGGTGTTGTGTTAGTTGTCTCTTCAGAGGTTGCATGGCTTTTCACTTTCCTTCTTATGATGTCTTCGATGAAACCATTGGAGAAGCCGTTATTGACTAGAACCTGCCTTACCCTACAGAGTTCTTCGTCGACTTGCTTCCATTCTGAGCTGTGGCTGAGAGCACGGTCGACGTATGCATTAACAACACTCCTCTTGTACCTGTCAGGGCAGTCGCTGTTGGCATTTAGGCACATTCCTATGTTTGTTTCCTTAGTGTAGACTGCAGTGTGGAAACCTCCGCCCTTTTCCATGACTGTTACATCTAGAAAAGGCAGCTTCCCATCCTTTTCCGTCTCGTAAGTGAAACGCAGCACGGAACTCTGCTCAAATGCCTCCTTCAGCTCCTGCAGATGTCTGACATCAGGTACCTGTGTAAAAATGTCGTCAACATACCTGCAGTATATGGCCGGTTTCAAGTTCATGTCGACTAAGACTTTTTGCTCGATGGTACCCATGTAGAAGTTTGCAAACAGGACACCTAGGGGAGAACCCATGGCGACCCCATCTACTTGCTTATACATGTGCCCATCCGGGCTCAAGAAGGGTGCCTCTTTAGTACAAGCTTGGAGTAGTTTCCTCAGAATACTTTCTGGCATGTCAAGATAATACTTTCTTTCTTGTTGAGAATACAGTATACATCTTTAATTTTGTTGAGAGTTTAAGCAGTGCATTCTGATCCAATGAATGAAGTATGTCAATTTCATCATTAGTCCATTATTTTCTGTTGGAAACAACTGCAATGATCTTATGACCAAATCATAATCCTTGCATTTCATCTGGACTGTATTACTCAGACATCAACTTTAATGCCAAATACTACAAACCTATAGAGCAGACACCCAAACAATTGGGGTATACTACTCTTTGATCCACGAGTAGATGATAAGCCACGAGTCCCAAAGAAGCAGCATGTCTCTAACCTTGCCCAAGACTTGTCAACACTCTCCCTCTATACATAGGGAATATGACTAGCTAATCAATCACATCACTTAAGAGAGAACTTGATAAACACCTCCAAAAGATAAGTGATCAACCAATCTGAGTCACACATCAGACTGCAAACAGTGATGTTTAACAGCCTGGTTGACCAGACCACCACCCAGTAGGCCTAGTTGACCAGTCCACCAACCAGTAAGCCTGATTTACCAGTCCACCAACCAGTAAGCCTGATTTACCAGTCCACCAACCAGTAGGCCTGGTTTACCAGTCCACCAACCAGTAAGCCTGATTTACCAGTCCACCAACAAGTAAGCCTGATTTACCGGACCACCAACCAGTAGGCCTGGTTGACCAGACCACCAACCAGTAGGCCTGGTCCGAGACTGGGCCATGGGGAACATTGATCTTCGGACCCACTTCAAGGTAACCTCAAATTCGGTGAGGGAACCAGCTGCGGCCCCACGAACAGGAGACCCCTGATCATTAGAATGTCTACTCAGGTTTCTCTATATATTTATTGTTGCCAAACTGGTTGAGGAACTTGCTAATTTGCGATATTGTACTGATTTGTGTTAATGAAAATCACACTTCTTCATTTGGGAGCAAAGTTTGAATCAAAATCAACATCCCGGGGTGAAAAATACACAAGGTCGAAAAGTAGCAAGCATCTTTACGTCATATATAAACAACATTAGAATACAACATACATATCCAGTAAAAATATACATGCAGTATACATACAATCATTGATATATGTATAAATGAAACCCAATAAGATGCACAAAGGAAAGGTGAACAAAGAAATTTGTCAAAGAAGTTGATATTAAAAAAAAAAAAAGCCACAACATGGAATTTCTGAGCTGAACGAAGAGTCTACCAATACGAAGATAAAACTGATGAAGTTTGTCTGATGAAACACATAGAACACAAATATATACTTCAACACAATTTATACTTTAAGCTCAATTACTATTAAGTTTTAGTCTAAGTGTTTTGCCCCTCACCTTGCCCGAAACGCTATGCGTACTAGTGGCTTTAGGTATTACATGTACTACCTCTTTCTTTAAATTCCAACATCATGTTTGTAACTCATCTTCAATGTATGTACCTTTACCTGAATACAAAAAAAAAATCTAAATATGAAAGGACAAGATTGGCAACAGTCAGATATTAGTCAGGAGCCGCCCTTGATAACAAATGTATTTATAGTTACTGCTTAAATTATAATATATAATGTTTTTGTACAATATACAGTAAACAATCAAGCCACCTTCCAGAATATGCCTCCCTCACACCCTTCCCCCTGTATGTTATATATACACAATTATGCAAACCTTTTCACTGTCAAATCCCAGCATTAATTATTGCACATAATTATGCAAGATATCATTATTTAAGGATTTATAATGGCCTTATACATGACCTCGTCAAGTCTCAGCATTATCACGATTGTCAAAATGATCATAATGAACATATACAATACTGCACAATGAAATCATAAGTGTGTGATGTAGCCATGAGAAAATATTAAGGTCATGCAGTGGGATGGAATCTACATCCCTCGAGTCTCTGTTCGCGCGCGCACTACTGACTAACCGTAGTTCACTCAGTAGTGCGCATGACAGTGTGTCTAGGGATGCGAATTCGATTTCATCGCAGCAACAATATTTTCTCATATATATAAATAGTGATCTTGACTTTCAAATTCTAGATTACTTTGCATCAGAATTGTCATGAGATCACCAAACTCAAAAATCACTATTTACTACCAAAATGGGTAAATAAATTCAAGAATACTTCAGTTTTCCAACCTGACCAATAGGCCTGTGTGACTATACATATGTAGTATTTATTGCAGTGCATCAGAGCATAGAGAGAAAAAGACCAATGAAATTGCACACGTGGATCCAATCGATGCATAAAATGGTTTTTGGAAAGTCAAATGGAGCCCCGAAATCACACTGTCACAAGTGATCACACACTTCACCATGACATACATAGGCACTTTTGTATACAGATTTCACAGACTCTGGCAACCTTGATCATAGGAGAGTTTCCATCTATTAGTTCTAAGAATAGATATCCCGCCAAACACACGATGAAACTACGGCGGTGCTACAACGTTCGAACAAGGTTTAACACCTTCTAACAATTGCAACAACCAATATAACAAGTTGTAACAACATTCTAATACGTCATAAAAATGTTATAACAAGATGTAACAACTTTATTACAAGTTGTAACAAGGGAATCATAGGAACAGTTACATTGTCTGTTTGTAGGGATAAAACTTATTCGTATGATCACACATTTGACATTCTCACGAGCACTGACTGACCATGCACGCTACAGTGAAACGGGCAATAAATGTGGTACAAACCACTATGATCTCCCTTGTAATGCCCTCAGAAGCACAACCAGCATCTTGGTACGTACTAAGGGAGAGCTTCACCCAACCCCACAAGTCTGAAAGCAATAACTAATTTACATTTAAAGAAAAAATGCAAAAAAAAAAAAAAAAACGAAATGGGAAAAGAGGTGGAAGGGGGAGTATAAGAATGATTAAACTGGAGAAGCAACAAAGACTTAAAAGGACATCTGGTATTAATTAAACAGTCGTAAATAAACTATCACGAATAAAAGACACTCCAATAGTAAACATAATAAGAGTGTAACATTAACCGAACACTAGAGTAGAATTGAGAGCTCGTGACCTAAATAAGGAGCAGAAACAAGAGGCAGACATGGACGAGGTCAAGAATGGGTTTTCTGCCAGTCAAAAAAGTGACAGACGATGCCTTTGGACAAACAAGGTGATGCAATGCTTAACCGAGGCAAATTGAGCCAAGAGATTAAAGTACGTAGCATCGAAACATGTGAAGCAGGATGTTAGACAAACAAGCCAGTGCAGGGTTCAGCCGAGGCATAATGTGCCAACACAAATGGCAAGCACGGGAGGAAACTAATTTCACATATGCTAATTATATCAGAAAACCTCAAACTATTTGCGCCCGTGACAGGGGTATGAACATTAGTCTTTTACTCTTACCTACTAAAAACATTAACCTGCGTACACTAACTGCACGACGCTCGTCTCGAATAGTGTACAGTAGACAACTCTTGGAGTACGTTAACATAAGAACATAATAAAGATAACCGCTGAAGGCCCATTGCCTCACACACATGACAGCTCCTCTTTATATCAACCCATATTATAAGCAGTTCCATGCACCCGATCCGTTTCTTGTTAACAAGTTTTGAAGCAAATGCAGAATAGAAACCACACTACCCCCTACAAGCAGCATTGCAGAATATGATACAATCAGAACTTGAAAAAACTACTGTGCTGTACTTAGTGAATTAACCCTGATCAGCAAATTGTATCTAAGTTTCAGGTGATGATTAATAAGGATGAGCCAACAGTTCAAGTCCAACTTTTTGCGCTTGACATCCACATTTTGCTCGTCATTCATTTCATCAGCGTTTGACTTTCAATGTCAATCCAGATGTCTTCCAGGAGTCCCTCAAAAGCAAGCTTTTAGCTATTCAATGGGTCTGTATATAAGAGTGGTGACGCACTTCTTGCGGAAGCGATGGGACGTCGACAGCACCATCATCCCGTCACGGATGCTCAGCGCATACATGTGGTTCAGCATCACGTGATTTGGCTCGGGAAGGAGTGTCGGTTCACACTGCAATGAAGGGCAAATGTTATACGTGGTAATAACATCATGAAAGCATGTGATCATTAGGAACATACAAATTGTTTTATTCAGACATGCACAGATAAATCGCTCAAGAGGTCAAGTTATAAATGTACTGAATGAGAGACGATAAATGCTTCAGTAGTCTCCTTTTTAAAGCAAACCACTTTAGGACAAGTAAAGTACAAATTGTGGATTATTCAGACTTAGATACATAAGGTGTTCCTGTATGATGGCAGACTCTATCCTAGCAAACTTGATCATTTACGTTCTTTTATTTAACCCAACAGTTTATCTGTTTTTCATTATACTGTACTGTATATGTAAAATTATGGGAAGAAGTAAATATACATGGTATATGTATTTTTTGTGTATTTCCTTACCAAAATCAGACAATTACATGGAATATGATGAGAAACGCAGCACTGCAAAGTAACCTTATCCTCTACAAATATAAAGTTAAGCCATTTCAGTGTCGAGACAAATAAACAATATATATGCAGTAGGACCTCGCACAGCCATAGGGTACAGTCTGAGGGAATACCTTACGCTGCACAATATTGTGTAGTGCAAAGTCAATGTCACATAGGTAAATTAGGGATACGTTCCATAGACCTCATCAAGTGAATAAAATACATGAATAACTAATTATGAATATGTTATCATGCAAGAATTGAATTAAAAATGCATAACACAAAAGAAAAACCAACAGCAACTCTTGTTACCTAAGTCACACACATTTCGAAATGCAGTAAAAGATGTGGTCATGCCACGCAAGATTTGTGCGGTACAACGGGTCACATGTATTAGCAAAATTCATCTGAGATTTGCACCATTACAGTCATCAGCGGACGTTGGTTTCATGTAAAAGTCATCATGAAGGTTAAAAAAACAAATGCTCAAAATGTAAAAAACTAAAATATACAGAAACCGAAACTAGGGATAATAAACTACTGTACAGTATAACACACCAAAAGCAGCCACTCACAGCACCAATGTCTGGAAACACCAAGAATTAACACCAGTTAATCAATCTGAAACTTTAAACAAATCATGTCTAAATCTGTTCAATTTAGACAAGTCTCAACTGTATAAATTTGGCTTCAAGAAAGCCTATAAACATTAATATTCAAATTTATACAAATAACACCAACATATATGAAGCAAAATTGCTAAACAGAAAATACTGTAATACACAAAGTAGAGAACTAGGCTACACGTAAGCTAACCTAATCCAATCCAAATAGCTCTCTGACCCGTGGTGCGTCAACTTAATGCACCACGCACCCACATGGGCGACGAAGGGAGCGAATGTGCACAAGCACAAGGACAAGTTCAGTCCATTAGTTGCAAATGTAAAGGACTGCTCAAGAGAAGGCAAAAAACCCTGCTGGTGCAAGGCCACACCAAAAGTGCAAAAGTCTTAAAGTAGAAACTCCACCGCTGAGATCACAAACCAACAATGCACACAGAAGACAATTCTGGCAACAGATCAATGAAGCCCAGAGATGAACATGAGGCATGTCTGGCCACACATGAAAAATATTCACTGTCACATCAGCTGATTGCATAAACACGCCATGAGAAACGTTCACTAACATCACATCAGCTGACTGCATAAACACACACATGAGAAATATTCACTAACATCACATCAGCTGACTGCATAAACACACACATGAGAAATATTCACTAACATCACATCAGCTGACTGCATAAAGCAAATGTTCCAAAGGCTAACACATGCCACTTAACTGAGTATTTGTGATCTCTGGTTGGCCATACAACCTGTTGTGAGGGGCTAGGACAGAATGTGATCATCTCGGCTTTGGGGATTGTTAGGGAGTCAGTGCTGCCATCTGGCGGCAGTTGGGAGGTAGTGAACTATTGGACCTTTCAGTAGTTGGCCACGGTGGTGGCGTGACCATCCCTGTGATGCCAAGTGACATTTAAGACTTGAAGGTATTTCTGGCATACCTGTGATGCTATTTCTGGCACGAATGCACTTTCTGTCTGCTCTGGGGTGGACCAAGTATTCTCTGTTTCCCCGGCACCAGCATCACCTCTCAAAGAAACTTTAACCCTTACACTGCTCCAGTCACCATATGTGATTGATCCTTGTGTGTTTTCAGTACGCTTAAGTACTTTACCAAATTAAGGGTCAAGTGGCTCGGCTAATTGAAAGTCCTACACTATAGTGCACATGACATAAAAAGAGTTCTGAAAACAAATGTAAAAAAATCATATTTAGCAACTCAAGCACAGGAGTTAATGGCAGACAGCGATTGGGGCCGTTTAAGGGTTAAAGAGTTCCGCACTCCAGAACATTTCCCTGGCCTGAGTGCACTAGATCATAACCGACGGTCAGCAGAACCTTGCCTTAGGAAGCAACCAAGAGTGAGAGTTCTGCAAACATGCCAGTAAATAAAGAGCCTATGAGTCAAATAATGCCATATACCCACCTAATGCTGACAGGGGTATCAAAAAGAGTTAAATATAAATAAAAAAATTCAAAATTTGCAACATGCTTGGCTCCAACCATTTCAGTGTGTATGATCTAACACATCTTAACCCCCTGTACCATCCTTCATGCTCAGCCACTATTAATTGCACCAATAATGTTTGATATTTTAAATCAGAGTAAGTCACAATAATGTGACTGAAATTAAATAACCCGACCTGCACACCTTTGAAAAGAAAGGAAAAGGGGGGGAGGGAACTATCAGAAGAAAGTGCCAAGCCATTACGACTATACAGCACTTGTAAGGGGTCAGGATAACGATTTGGGATGGGACGTGAAAGAGAAATGGTACCATGGACGGTCGGGGATTGAATGCCAACCTGCATGAAGGGAGACCGTCGCTCTACCGGTTACATTTTTTACCTAACCTGGACCCTTATTGAATCACAACGGGGACATGGCTTGTTAAGAATCCAAGATGGGCCAAAACATCCTCACTTTCCTTTGCATTATTTGGATATTTTAACCTCTGTGCACTAGTCTACAAGCTCTGCCACTACTTATTCTTCAAAGTGTCTGGTGCATTCACTCTTCAGTTAGTTGTCCCAGCTCTCTGAATTTGCAGAGGCTACCTTAATTCCTTTTATCGAGGCCCATAAAATCTAGGAAGGCTACTTCTCCCCAAGTTAGACACTGGTATATGGAAGATGTGATCAGAAACTCCAGGTTAAAGTGCTCTCAATGACAAGCATGAACTTATGCCAGCAGCAAGACTAATGGCAAGGGCATTATTAAGAAATATTTGTTTACATTTACATTTCTTGTCATTATACACGAAAAAAAACCCAGCGTTAAATCTAATGAAACGCCATTTTCTGGGTGAGTCCCGGAGATTCCCCAGAGCTATCTAGGCTGAATGGATATGTATAACTTTCTGGCATCAATGTGCTTGGAGTTCTTGCCTACTGGGGACCACGAGCCAGAACCTGGCCCCCTCCGAGAGGCACGAGGAGCAATGTCCTATAGAAACTTCCCCTGTGGTTGGGAGCATTCTATGTCTGCCATTGATCGGGATAGGCACCCAGAAAGGTAGGCGCCCCAAAACAAACCCCTATTCTGGTGAAACTATTGCTACCGAAAGCCAAACGAGTGGACAGAACTCCTCATATGAAAATCAGCAAATGAGCATGACGTCATCATGTTGCTGCGCCGCCATCTGCACAACCCCCCCCTCCCTCCCTCCCTGGGAGGGGGATGGGGGAATCCCAGACCCTCGCCAACCAAGGCATGGGAGGCATACCAGAGAGCCTCCAGGACTCGCCCAGAAAATGGCGTTTCATTACATTCAACGCTGGTTTTCTGGAGAGAGCCCTGTCGGCTCCACGGAGCTACCTCATCAAAGATAAGGAAAAGAGGGAAGAACTCGGGAGGCGGACGCCACATGCCCAACACAAAAACAAAACCACAGGCCAAACCAAAGGACCCTGCAGACGACCCAGGAAACCTGAACCCCAGAACAGGAAGGAAGGAAGGAAGGTAACCCGGACAAACCAAAACACGCCCACGGCCCCAGAGGCCAAGACGCACAGATAACAGCAAAGAGCCGCAACCGAACACAACACACAAAACATCCTCAGCCTGAACAACCAAGCAGCAACCCAAGGACTCCATCCGGAACACAGCAGACCGAAACTTCACCCGAAAAGAAGAAGATTGCTGCTAACGAACAACCTACCACCATGACCAAACAAGCAGAAAAACATACCATAACTGAAGGGGCCATGACAAACCGAGGAGAAGAAAGAAGATAGACCACCTGCGCCAACGACCAGGACGGCACCAGAAGCGCATGAGCAGGCCGGAAGGGAAACAAACAAGACAGCGAACAGAACGGAGCAGAAGGGATAGCAACACCGAACGCAAGCTGGAGCGGCCCCGCCAGCGCCACCCGAAATGAGGCGACAGGATGCAGCATCAATGATGGACCTGGAACAACAAAACAACCCTTATCAGAGACCGTAGTACACCTACACAGTGATAGGAAACCAAAAGGACCGCTAGGAAACTACACACTGCCGCTGAGACGAAGCACACAGGTGGGAGACCAACAACGAAGCCACCAGTGCCCACACAAGTGACGAGAACCTGAGACAAAAACCCTGAGATGCGAAGACTCGAAGGGAAAACGAACCAGCCTTGTACCGGGCTGGACCGATCAGCAAAAGGGGGTGAAGCCGCAGGAAGACCCTCAGGAACGGACACCGAGCAAAGCAGCGCCTCCAACCAAGGCTGGCAAAAAACTAGAAGGAACGGCCGCCAGGGAACCAGGAACCCAAACCCAGCGAGCCTGGAAGGAACCAACCCGGGCGAGCAAACACACCTCGCCCGGGAGGAACCCCCTCCTGGAACCCCTGAAGGACCAACAAGGCCAAAAACAGATGAAAATGAGAAGAATCCGCCTGCCGAAAGAGCCAAACCGCAAACACTGCAACAGCTAGGACCAAATGGCAATGAAAACTGAGGAGCCAGGGCCCAGGCAGAGTAAAACGAGCACCACGAACCGAATCGCGAGACGCGAAGTGAAAAACAGAACCCTGCAACCCGCAGGAGTAGCACAACAAACTCCAGCCGGGAAGAATGAAGCACGTGTCGCTGAGTAATATATGAGGAAAACCATTCAAGACGTATACCGCACTAAAACTAAAATGTATGGTCTAGAAAAGAAACACAAAGAAAAGTTGTAGCTAGTACCGGAATCCTAGCACCCCTGTCCCAACCAAAAGACACCAGAGGGGCAGGAGTGGTTGATCGGAATCTACATCCACCCGCAGACATTGCAACACAGAAGCGGGCAGTGACAAACAAGGAAAAATGAAAAAAATACAGGTCCAGAACCGAACACTGGGGCAGTCCCAAATCAGGGAAATGAACATGTACAGAGGCCAACCGAGCACCAACATCAGTATAGTCAATAAGCACCTACCAAGACACAAAACAGTGTGCAGTATAGAGGTAGGAAATACGGATTTAGGCAAGGAAAAGACCCGAAAGATGGTCCAAACACCAGTAGCTAGGGACAAGAGAGTACAATGAATAGGACGAACGAAGAGGATCCAAGTAGCAGCCAGTAATGTAATGTACACGACCAACTACATATACAGAGAGACTCCAATGTATATAAGGGTGCAGCCAGGCACTGAAAGACAGGCAATGAAGGAGTGTCCAGAGAGCATAGCCCGAGGCAATGAATGAGTGTACAGACAGCAAGGACGGAGGCAATGAAGGAGTGTCCAGATATCGAGAAAAGATCCAGGCGTCAAAAGACAAAACAAAAGGCACTGAAAATCAGGGCAGCGCCCCACAGTGTAACGAAGAACAAGACACACTGACAAAGTAAGGACACGAAAAGACGCACGCAAAGTAGCCAAGCAAAACACACAACATTTAACACCCCACCAAAAATTGAGAACCAGCACCCGGCCAACAGTCGCCAGACTGTACAATCTCATCTTCAGACCGGAGACACGACCATGTCACGACACAGCTGAGCCGTGTAATATACCAGGAGCATCGCTAGTGGAGTATGTCCAGCGGTACATACTGCTAGACATAACTGGGTGAAGTCCCCACAAATAAAATCCAGAACACCCCCAGTATTTAGGGGGGGAGGGGACGATGACCGGAGAGAAGATGAGCGAGAACGGAGTATAATCCGCGATAAACACCGACACATGTGTACACCGCCCAGAAACAAAACAATCACCCCGGCCCCTGCACCCGAGGTCCGAACCGCCCCACCCGTCTTCCGAGGAGGGCGCCAACAAGGCATATGTAACGAATAACAGATATGTCGAGACAGGAAGGAGAGACGCTTGGAATACAAAATAATGCGAAACAGAATTGAAAGAAGACAAGGAGAATGGAAGAGGACCAACGAGTCTGAGAAAGGAATGGCGGGAAGCCTCATCAGAAGTCAACAGATGTCCCAATAATATTTGAAGTATCGAAGAGTGTCGCAAACCCTTGAAAATCGTGAGAAGCAAGCACGAAAGCACAGAGGTACATATGGGCCCAATGGCACCCTTGACCAAGGGCCATGCAGGGAACCCAATACAAAGGGAACATGAGTGCAGCATGGAGAAAAGTTCATGGCCCGAGAGAAAACCGGTATGAAAGCGGTGAAAATCACCCACAGGAAGGACAGAGCCGATGGAGCCGACAGACCTGAACGGACATGGAACCGAACACAGAGAGGAGCATATACAAACCAACTCGGAAGCAAAGGGGGAAGGAAAACCCCACATTGAGGAACTGCAAGCCCCGCTCAGAGGGCACTAAACCCAAGCGGGGTGAACAGGGCCAAGGCCCCACAGTCAACCCCTCCCCAATCCCGGGGCCGAGCCATCCCCCCAAAGCCCCGGCCTCACAAGAAAAAGCCGGGGCAGCCATAAAAACACTAATGAAGGGAGCCCACTGGTCAGACCCATATGCTACAGCTGGAGGAACAGGCTTGAATGCCTCCACCGTCACCCTGGAAGAGGAAACCCCCGAGACCGCCTAAGTCTCAACCCCGAAACCCGCAGACGTTTCGGAGTCGGAAGCAAGGGGGGGGGGGGGGGGAACGTATGCACAACAGAAGGGAAAGGACAAGGAGGGGCGGACGAAACCAGAGCCAAAATGACTCCCACCCCAAAGTCCGGACCCAAAGGGTCCGGACATTGGGGCAGTTTTGGGGCATCCGAGGCCGCAACCAAACCGAGCGTGCAACGCAGCAGCTGCCTGTACCGCCACATATGTTGAGTAACACGAGTGAACTGGAGCATGTACAGAGAACAACGTCGCACAACTCTAGGTCAAAAGAATCACCGACCCAACAGGCAGCATGGCGGAGGCACAACTAGTGAATGTCGCCCTGAGACAAGCGGACAGAGCAATCTTCGAACTCGTAAGAAGCAAGAGGGGACTCAAGGGTCACATTCACCGAACCACGGAGCCCCCATGGGGTTTCCCAGGGGCCCATAGCCATCTTAACATGCTAAGGGAAGCACAGGCAGGGTACTGCAAACCAGCGCCCAAGTCTACCAAAGAAACTGCTAAAGCTGAACCCCCGGGACGTGTCCACTCACGGGGGCCAAGCGGGGGATACCACCAACCACAGAATATATATATACACCCCCAACAGCAAAGGGGAACCACACAGGCAGACCCCATCCCCCCACCAGGCAGAAAACAAAAACAAAAGAAAAACCCCGCAAAAGGACAACATACCCAAAAGGAATAGAGCCGGCCGCTATAATTGGTGAAAATTAGCTGTGCAGTACCCCGCGCCCCTACCAGTGATGAAAACTACCCCCATACCCAGGGACACACAAGGGCAAGAAAACCCCAGCAGACCCCAAGTACCGAGCAGTAAAAGGCACAGCAGAGGCAGATCCCAAGGAGACTTGTGGAAGGAGGCCCCAAGCCCCAAGGGCAGTACTTACTGGGCACCTAGGGAAGGTAGCCCTAGGTGCATGCAGCCCGAGTACTATGGAATATTACTCCTGGCTCACACACCCCTTGGAGAGACAGCCCACGTCACTAGACACAGAACAGAGACAAAAATTCCGGAGCCAGAGGCACAAGACTTTCCCTGAATCGCATCAGCCAAGAACTGCAGGTTGGGTCACCAGTGCGAGGGTCAGGGGCTTCCCCTTCCCCCTCCCGGGGAGGGGAAGGGAGTTGCGCAGACGGCGGTGCGGCGACGTGATGACATCATGCTCGTTTGCTAATTTTCGTTACAGGAGTTCTGTCCACTCATTCGGCTTTCAGTAGCAATAGTTTCACCAGAATAGGGGGGGTTTGTTTTGGGGCACCTACCTTTCTGGCTGCCTGGCCTGGTCGATGGCAGACAATGAATGCTCCCAACCACAGGGGGGGGTTTCTATAGGCCATTGCTCCTCATGCCTCTCTGAGGGGGGCCAAGTTCTGGCTCGTGGTCTCCGGTAGGCAAAAACTCCAGGCACATTGACTGATGCCAGAAAATTATACATATCCATTCAGACTGGATGGCTCCGGGGAGCTGACGGGGCTCCCCTCAGAAAACATGAAAGTAACAGAGAAAGCAAGCTATGGAAAAACATTTATAATTACTGTACTGTACCCTCAGAGGTAAGTAGAAAATATTTGCACAAAAATTAAAATTAAAGGATTAACATTGAGGGCAAATGTAAGTTATCTTTAATGAGTGTTCATTTATTCGCACCCACCACCAAGCGTGCCACTGTGCTACAATGACCGTGAGTGTGACAAAGCAGTGTGATCAGCTGCATGGTGGAGATAGTGCGCGCCTGACAAAATGGTGACGGTGAAGAGTGAAATACTACGAGAAAATTGTAAAATGCTAAAGCTCGTACCCTCCACATCCTCGTCATTAGAGTCCACTGCTTCTTCATGACCTGTGGTTGTGAACACGGATGAGATGGGTGATTATGCAACATATCAACATGTGCTCAATTTCTCTTATCATCAATGGATGACACACGAAATAATCTGACGAAACAAAGTGCACCCCCTCTCCTCCCCCCTTTAGCCCCTGCATGTCAATGTGGTTGACACTAGCACTACTTTAATATATCAAGATATACCACATTCACCTTAGCACACACAAGAATTGATCACTTACAAGTGAAATCAACCAATGACGAATCATTTCCTGCTTAACTCATGAAATATGTTCGACTACCAGCATGAAGAAAGCCGATCATAATGACGTCTCAATATATTACAAAAGAGCAGAATTTCCATTTGAATTTAAGAATATATCCGGATTGGAGCTACTAAATAATGCCAAAATGGAAGCAATGTCAGGAATGAAAATATACAATTTTGAAGGTGTTCACTTGAGAAGCAAAGCTTTGTGTGTGATAGCTCCTTGTGCATTATGGGAGGCAAAGCAGCTTGATAGCAATGGTAAATGTAGAGTACGGTATCATTATTATTATATTTTTTTCCTCGAAACACTGCATGTGTTCCTCATACTGTCAATCTCTTTCTGCTCCAGCTAAACTGCTGCGCTCATTCCTGTATTACTAAATAGCAACACCTTTTTCAATCTGAAGTTATCAGCCTTGTTTCCAATCCCAGACATATCTTTTACCATCCATTCCCCACACCTCATCCCCAATCCCCACATCTCATCCCCTGTCCAATCCCAACATCTCATGCCCAATCCTATCCCCACACCTCGCCCTCCACCGTCCAATCCCCACACCTCGCCCTCCACCGTCCAATCCCCACACCTCGCCTTCCACCGTCCAATCCCCACACCTCGCCCTCCACCGTCCAATCCCCACACCTCGCCCTCCACCGTCCAATCCCCACACCTCGCCCTCCACCGTCCAATCCCCACACCTCGCAAATGTCAAACACCGAATTCAAACACAAAATACTTTTGAAAACACCAGACCCCCAGCTGGACACACACATCCATAACCATATCCGTGTGAGGAGTCACACCGGTGAGAACTTACGGATATGGGGGTATCCTTGTTGAGGATGACCTGGAGCAAGTGAGGCGGTAGCACTGGCGGCCCACGGATTTTCTCAGACTGTTGGTATTCGGGAATTTCCTGGCTAAATTCCTCCTTTTTTTCCTCTGCATGGAAGGGAAGAGAAGCGAAGGGGTAAAAAGTAAACTTTTATTGATGCATGAAATACCAGGTAACAACCACATTAAGAATACTTTGCCCTACAATTTCTCAAGCTTACTCTCCACCATCTCAAGCTTACCCTCAACTTTCTCAAGTTTACTCTCCACTTTCTCCAGCTTATCCTCCATTTTCTTAAGCTAACTCTTTATCTTCTCAAACTTACCATCCCCTTTCTCAAGCTTGCCCTCCGCTTTCTCAATCTTACCTTCCACTTTCTCTAGCTTACTCATGACTTTATCAAGCCCACCACACCTTCCTCAAGCTTAAACTTCACTTTCTCAAGCTTGCACTCCCCTTTCTCAAGCTTGCACTCCTCTTTCTCAAGCTTGCACTCCTCTTTCTCAAGCTTGCACTCCTCTTTCTCAAGCTTGCACTCCCCTTTCTCAAGCTTGCACTCCCCTTTCTCAAGCTTGCACTTCCCTTTCTCAAGCTTGCACTCCCCTTTCTCAAGCTTGCACTCCCCTTTCTCAAGCTTGCACTCCCCTTTCTCAAGCTTGCACTCCCCTTTCTCAAGCTTGCACTCCCCTTTCTCAAGCTTGCACTTCCCTTTCTCAAGCTTGCACTCCCCTTTCTCAAGCTTGCACTCCCCTTTCTCAAGCTTGCACTCCCCTTTCTCAAGCTTGCACTCCCCTTTCTCAAGCTTGCACTTCCCTTTCTCAAGCTTGCACTTCCCTTTCTCAAGCTTGCACTCCCCTTTCTCAAGCTTGCACTCCCCTTTCTCAAGCTTGCACTCCCCTTTCTCAAGCTTGCACTTCCCTTTCTCAAGCTTGCACTCCCCTTTCTCAAGCTTGCACTCCCCTTTCTCAAGCTTGCACTCCCCTTTCTCAAGCTTGCACTTCCCTTTCTCAAGCTTGCACTCCCCTTTCTCAAGCTTGCACTCCCCTTTCTCAAGCTTGCACTTCCCTTTCTCAAGCTTGCACTTCCCTTTCTCAAGCTTGCACTCCCCTTTCTCAAGCTTGCACTCCCCTTTCTCAAGCTTGCACTCCCCTTTCTCAAGCTTGCACTCCCCTTTCTCAAGCTTGCACTCCCCTTTCTCAAGCTTGCACTCCCCTTTCTCAAGCTTGCACTTCCCTTTCTCAAGCTTGCACTCCCCTTTCTCAAGCTTGCACTCCCCTTTCTCAAGCTTGCACTCCCCTTTCTCAAGCTTGCACTCCCCTTTCTCAAGCTTGCACTTCCCTTTCTCAAGCTTGCACTCCCCTTTCTCAAGCTTGCACTCCCCTTTCTCAAGCTTGCACTCCCCTTTCTCAAGCTTGCACTCCCCTTTTTCAAGCTTGCACTCCCCTTTCTCAAGCTTGCACTCCCCTTTCTCAAGCTTGCACTCCCCTTTCTCAAGCTTGCACTTCCCTTTCTCAAGCTTGCACTCCCCTTTCTCAAGCTTGCACTCCCCTTTCTCAAGCTTGCAATTCACTTTCTTAAGCTTAATCTCCACTTTTTAAAGCTTACCCTCAACTCTTTCCTTATTCTGAGACTGACTGCTCAACGGTTTATCCTTGTTGTCATCGTTGGGGTCGCGCAGAAGCGCATTTTCGAACTCTTCAAAGTCGCTCTCGTTGATGGTAATGGTGTTGTTCTGTGACCCCAATTCATTGGTGCAGGCATTTTCGCTTTGGTTAAGTCTCCACTCTCCGTCCACCAGAAACTTGTACTGGTGCTGGCCTTCCGGCAGATCCACGATGGCTACGAAGTCTTTCTCACTGGAATGGGATTGATGAACAATGAGGCCACATGTGGAGCCATGAATGATTAACAAGAAGTTATTCGACTGAAAAAAAAGATAGAGTTTGATTTACCTGTATACTGAGTCAGAGCTGATCAAGTGAGGTACTGTAATTCTAAGACCGTCATATTTTAGAAAAGGCTTTTGTGTTTATGTGATGCACTTTTCCCTCTAGATTCTGTACTTAATTATTATAATCATAATAATTCCCATTGTCAGGAACAGGAAGCCTGTACTCAGACTTATCAAGGCCTCACTACTAGGTGACTCTACTGACCTTCACCAGGATGCAAACCCACAATAGTTGCCTAACTCCCTGATGCCTATTTATTCCTATATGAAGAGAGTCATTAGGTTTCAATCTCCCTGGGAATTGAAACCATACCTCTTGAGTGTGAGCTGAGGACATGGACCACTGTGTTACAGTGTTCCATCGTCTCCCCAGCATCCATACAATCAAGAAGGGAGAGTTACTGTATTTCCCACAGTTTCCCACAGCACCTAATTGACCCATCCACTTGGACTGGTTGGCACAGCAGTGGCATCACAGTTTTGCAGCTCTGTGTTCAATTCCCAATGGTCCGAGTGGTTAGGCACCATTCGTTACTTCTGTCCTAGGCGGGAGGCACTGGTAAACTGAAGCGCGATCGTCATGCACCCACGCACTAGGTCAGCCATACGCATGTCAACAAACTCATTTCCCGAGGTAAAGTTCGTAACCTGATTCAAATTTTCCGAAGAAATTGGGCTTGCAACCCGAAAGTTCGTAAATAAGGGCATTCATAAGCCGAGGTGTGACTATATATAATGAGTTTAGGCTGGTGTAATGAACACAGGCTGCAATATGGGTAGCTGTGGTATTGTGGTCATCTGATGGTGGGTATAAGCATATAGTATATTGGCTTCTGCCACAACACACTGCAGAGCTGCCACCATGACTTTATAGTGGCCACTGTGACTCTGCAGGGCTGTTGCCATGACTCCTACAGGACCACCACCAAGACTCCCTACAGGACTGTCGCAAAGACTCCCTACAGGACCGCTGTGAAGTCTCCCTACAGGGCTGCTGTATAAAATAAAATAAAAAATACACTGCCACTTACACTACAGTTAAGAGAACATTGGAATTCCATACAAAGTCATCACCTACCTCTTGACCATGGGAAGTGGTTGCCAGTCGCTGAATGTTCCAGCAATAGCAACCGCCTGCCCTCCACCTGCCCACTTAATGACAAACGGGAGCATCTTCTTGTTACCTTGCGTCAGCACCGGTCGTGGTCTAGCAGGCACTGGGTCCTCATTTTCTTTCTCTGACTGCTGCAGAGAGTGGGTGAGTGAGTTGGCGTGAATGAAAATCCTACCAACAGCTATTCATGACTTGGGAATTAAAAACAGTATTAAGAAATGTAAAATGAAAAAGAAAATGTAGACAGTCTATAAAAAAAAAATAAGTCTAGTAGGAACATGAGGCATAATTACAATTTCGAACAAGTGACAAAAATACACGTAGAAATCACAATAGCGTGATATATCAAATGAACAAATCTACGTGGGCCGGCCATGTCGTGGCACAGTTGACTAAGGTGCATTTGGGAACATCCATGCGTAGGTTTGAACCCTCATCATGGCTCTTGTGGATTTGTTCATTAACACTATCACGCGCAGAGTGTGTGCTCCGCAGACTTTGACGTCATGCTCTTGGTGGTGCGGGCGAGCATGCAGTGACACTGCAAATGTGTATACTCGTTTCAGTTTCCTCACCTTAATTCTCGTGCTATGTCGTTCGTTTTGGTATCATTGTATTGTTCGCAATAGAATTTCCTACAGGTGTATATGCATATAAGGTCCAAAAGCCTGGCATGACTCCCCACAGCAAAGCCTAAAGTCGGCAAAGTTACCCGTGTGCGCACAAAATCAGTAAAATATGTATACTCGTCTCAGTTTTCTCACCTTAATTCTCGTGCTACGTCGTTCGTTTTGGTATCAATGTGTTGCAATAGAATTCCCCACAGGTGTATATGCATATAAGGTCCAAAAGCCCAGTGTGACTCCCCGCAGCAAAGCCTAAATTTGGCCAACCGTTATCCGTGAACAAGCACCAATTGGCACACCTGCAACCTAATGTATATACTCATTCAGTTTGATAACATCAATTTTCGTGTTACGTCTTTCATTTTGGTATCAAATTGTTCGCCATATAAAGCTGTTCGCCATATAAAACTCGTCCCATAATAATAGAACAATACATGGAATTTTAACAAATACAATGGGGCCTCGACTTACGATGCTAATCCGTTCCCAGAGATGGATCGTAAGTTGAAGCGATTTTTCCCATAAGAAATAAAGGGAATTGAATTAATCCGTTCCCCACCCTCCAAAATATTTACATACAAATACATTTTATACTGAATACAATGTTTTTTCTAACTACAATACAGTACCAAAGTTTCTCTTACCTTTATGGAGGGCTCTTGATGGCGTATGGAAGATGGTGATGAGGGGAGAGGAGGAGAGTTGTTACTGTTTGGAAGGGGAGTCCCCTTCCATTATCACATCAGGCAGTGAAGTTTTTTCTGGGGTACTCTCTCTCCTACGTATTGCCTGAATACCACTAGGACCTGATTGTGGTTCAGTGATTGTTTGTCTCACTACAAATTTGTCAAGAGACATTTGTTTTTCCCTTCGTTTTAACATTTGTCTGTAATGATGCATCAGTGTCATTGAATAGGTTAAGGCAACAGCCTACTGCAGCTTGATTTGGGCGAAATCGTTTCGGCAAAGGTTTGCAATTCTTCCCATGCTGCACACATTTTCATAATTGTTGAGGAAGAGACATTCTGTACTCTTGTTTCTGCTCTATGGTCATCCTTACATGGGTTTTCATATGTTGAGCCTTACCACTGACTTTCCTGGGACTCATGGCGTGATATATAATAATTACTTAAATGTTCAAAATGCAAAAAATCACCACAAAAGCGGAATTTCTTATAGGCGCGATCGTCACTTAGCGGGCAGCTGTAGTAAACTGAGGCAGGTCGGCCGCGTGACCGGGAACCACGCGCAAGGTCGACCCGAACGTGTACCAACAAATATCGGAAGTCGACGACACCATCGGATGTTGAGTTGCATTTTTCGATGAAATTTACATCGTAACTCAAAATTATCGTAAGTAGGGGCAATCGTAAGTCGAGGTGCCACTGTATTTTAGATTTTGAACCACAAAAGTATCGATAAACTTTCAAGTGTTCTGACGTCAATTGTCAGGCTACACTGTCATTATTGTACCAAATTGTGTGCAATCTAAAGGTGCTCATTTTGAAACCACTTCCAGATTTATCGGATAAAATTAAAAATTTTAACAAATGTTTTAAAATGATGGACGCAGTATGAGTCACCCGAGTGGACGTAGGAGAAAAAACAGCGTTGAATGTAATGAAATGCCATTTTCTGGGTGAGACCCAGAGGCTCCCCAAAGCTTAAGTCACATCAGCCCTTAAGCCCTTAATAGCCTACAAGAGACAGAGGTCTCCGGTAGGCTATTAAGGTATGAGACCTGTAGAGACCAGAGGTCCTCGTCGAGGCCACTAGTATTGGTGACCCACAGGTAAATTCAGAGCCCAAAACCTAGTTTCCTCATAAGCATGATGGAGCAGAGGTCTCACGATCACCCTCACTGAAGAACAAACCTCCAGAAGGAAGGCCAAGCTAAACACACAACTGAAATTCCATTCCCCTGGATTGTATGGGTCTCGAACCATGGACCCCCTGCATGAGAGGGCATAGAACTATTGACTGGGCTATGAGTAGTCTTATGAGCTTCGGCCTCACACGCGTGGGGTCCACGGTTCGAGAGCCATACTGCCCAGGTGAATGGAATGTTTATTTCCATGGCAGTGTGGATGACAGTTTATTAGATAACTGAAACGTTCACAGAAACTAAACAAATAATGCAGAAAACAACTTGGCAAACAATCCAGCCAGTAGTTAGGTCATACCCTGTTAGGGGGGGGGAGGGGGGCGAATAAGCTGCTCCCCTCACCCCTAAGAGGGTTACCAAACAGAGTGAAAACACTGCCAAATGATACCAAAAATGATCAGTGATTACTAAAAATCACTAAGGCAACTGAAATCAACAACTGTTAACCCATATCACTGCTAATTGTCTAGATTTATCATTTACACTATGATAAAAAGATTTCAGCCAAATTATCTGCTGCTTTATAACAAAGTGCTTGCCTGTTTAGGCTTGATGACGACCGGTTCGTGCTCCTCTTCTGAAGGCTGTTGTTGGAGGCCCTTCTGGCCTTTGTGTTTGTCGAATGTGAATGCCTGGCCATCGATCTTCCCCGGAGAATATGGCGGAAATGAGTCGCCGGGTTTATTCCGATCCCGACGCTCACCCGACGTTGCATGGTTGCCCATGACTTAGGTTACTGCAAGATAAAAAGGAGACGGTAAGAGAGTGTTGTATTCAAACATCACATAGCATTGTAATGTTGGAATGATGAGAAAATATTTCAGTATTCTTAAAATGAAAAAATAAATCAAACCCAAGAAATTATAACACAATAAATTGTAACTAGTCAAAAATATTAGAACCAACACTAGAAATTATATGGAGAAGTTTTTAACGAACCATAGACATTAATATTTTGTTAATCCTTGAAATGCATATACCATGGTGGTGGAGGCCAAAATCATCAGTAGCTTTAAAGCGTTATATGACAAAGAGTGCTGGGTAGATAGGACACCACGAGCGTAGCTCTCATCCTGTAACTACACTTAGGTAATTACCAGAGTATACACTACCCTCTATACCAGGGTATACACCACCATCAGTACACCAGAGTATACACCACCATCAGTATACCAGGCTATACACCACCATCAGTATACCAGAGTGTACACCACCCTCAGTATACCAGGCTATACACCACCATCAGTATACCAGAGTATACACCACCCTCAGTATACCAGGGTATACACCACCCTCAGTATACCAGGGTATACACCATCAGTATACCAGAGTATACACCACCCTCTGGATTTTGAAGAAGCCATAAACAGTATGCCTATGCACTCTGCACCAGGCCCGGATTCTTGGAACTCCATATTCATCAAGAACTGTAAAAAAACCACTATCGCAGGCCCTCCACATTCTGTGGAGACAAAGCCTAGATACTGGCGTTATTCCTGATATACTAAAAACAGCAGAGATAGCACCATTTCATAAAGGAGGAAATAAGGCAGAGGCAAAAAATTACAGACCAATAGTACTAACATCGCACATCATAAAAATTTTTGAGAGAGTGCTAAGAAGTAAGATCACAAAATACATAGAATCACGGCATCTCCATAACCCCGGACAACATGGTTTCAGAACAGGGCGTTCTTGCCTGTCACAGTTGCTGGACCACTATGATATGGCATTAGATGCTATGGAAGACAAACAAAACGCTGATGTAATTTATACAGATTTCGCAAAAGCTTTTGATAAATGTGACCATGGTGTTATTGCACATAAAATGCGTTCAAAAGGAATTACCGGAAAAATAGGCAGATGGATCTACAATTTCCTGACCAACAGAACCCAATGTGTAATAGTCAACAAAATAAAATCCAGCCCAACAACCGTGAAGAGCTCAGTCCCCCAGGGGACTGTGCTTGCTCCAGTACTTTTTCTCATCCTCATATCGGACATAGACAAGAACACACCCTATAGCACTATCATCCTTTGCAGATAACGCTAGGATCTTCATGAGAGTAGGCAACATAGAGGACACGGCAAACCTCCAGTCAGATGTAGATCAGGTCTTTCTATGGGCTACAGAAAATAATATGGTGTTTAACGAAGATAAGTTCCAGCTCATGCGCTATGGATAAAAATGAAAATATAAAAACGGAAACCACGTACAAAACTCTGGCAAATCATAACATAGAACGAAAAGGCAATGTAAAGGATCTGGGTGTACTCATGTCAGAAGACCTTACCTTTAAAGAACACAATAAAGTAGCCGTCACAACTGCAAGAAAAATGACAGGTTGGATAACAAGAACTTTTCACACTAGAGACGCTATACCGATGATGATACTCTTCAAAACGCTTGTGCTCTCTAGAGTAGAGTACTGCTGCACAATGACAGCACCTTTCAAAGCTGGAGAAATTGCTGACCTGGAGAGCGTGCAGAGATCCTTTACTGCTAGAATCCACTCTGTAAAACATCTAAACTATTGGGACCGACTAAAGAGCCTAAATCTGTACTCCCTTGAGCGCAGGCGGGAGAGATACATAATAATTTACAAGTGGAAAATATTAGAGGGACTGGTCCCAAACCTGCATACAGAAATAACATCACATGAGACCAGAAGACATGGCAGGATGTGCAGAATACCCCCATTGAAGAGCAGAGGTGCAACAGGTACTCTGAGAGAGAACTCTATCAACATCAGAGGCCCGAGACTGTTCAACACGCTTCCGCTACACATAAGGGGCATAACTGGCAAACCCCTCACAGTGTTCAAGAGAGAACTGGATAAGCACCTCCAAAGGATACCTGATCAACCAGGCTGTGACTCATACGTCAGGCTGCGAACAGCCGCGTCCAACAGCCTGGTTGATCAGTCCGGCAACCAGGAGGCCTGAACGACGACCGGGCCGCGGGGACGCTAAGCCCCAAAAGCACCTCAAGGTAACCTCAAGGTAAGGTAACCTCAAGGTAAGGTAACCCTCAGTATACCAGAGTATACCGACCGGGGAGCCGGTCGGCCGAGCGGACAGCACGCTGGACTTGTGATCCTGTGGTCCTGAGTTCGATCCCAGGTGCCGGCGAGAAACAATGGGCAGAGTTTTTTTCACCCTATGCCCCTGTTACCTAGCAGTAAAATAGGTACCTGGGTGTTAGTCAGCTGTCATGGGCTGCTTCCTGGGGGTAGAGACCTGGTCGAGGACCGGGCCGCGGGGACACTAAAGCCCCGAAATCATCTCAAGATCTCAAGATAACCTCAGTACACCAGGGTATACACCACCGTCAGTATACCAGGGTATACATCACCATCAGTATACCAGGTATACACCACCATCAGTATACTAGGCTATACACTACCCTCAGTATACCAAACTATACACCACCGTCAGTATACCAGGCTATACACCACCGTCAGTATACCAGGGTATACACCACTGTCAGTATACCAGGTATACACCACCATCAGTATACTAGGCTATACACCACCCTCAATATACCAGGGTATACACCACCATCAGTATACTAGGCTATACACCACCCTCAGTATACCAGTGTATACACCACCATCAGTATACAAGGCTATACACCACCCTCAGTACACCAGAATATACACCACCCTCAGTATACCAGGCTATACACCACCCTCAGTATACCAGGCTATACACCACCCTCAGTATACCAGGCTATACACCACCCTCAGTATATCAGGCTATACACCACCCTCAGTATACCAGGGTATACACCACCCTCAGTATACCAGGCTATACACCACCCTCAGTACACCAGGCTATACACCACCCTCAGTACACCAGGCTAAACACCACTGTCAGTATATCAGGCTATACACCACCCTCAGTATACCAGGCTATACACCACCCTCAGTATACCAGGCTATACACCACTCTCAGTATACCAGGGTATACACCATCAGTATACCAAGGCTATACACAACCCTCAGTATACCAGAGTATACACCACCATCAGTATACCAGGCTATACACCACCCTCAGTATACCAGATTATACACCACCCTCAGTATACCAGAGTATACACCACCCTCAGTATACCAGAGTATACACCACCCTCAGTATACCAGAGTATACACCACCCTCAGTATACCAGACTATACACCATCAGTATACCAGGCTATACACCACCGTCAGTATACAAGGCTATACACCACCATCAGTATACCAGGCTATACACCACCGTCAGTACACCAGGCTATACACCACCGTCAGTATACCAGGGTATACACCACCGTCAGTACACCAGGGTATACACCACTGTCAGTATACCAGGGTATACACCACCGTCAATACACCAGGGTATACACCACCGTCAGTATACCAGGCTATACACCACCGTCAGTACACCAGGCTATACACCACCGTCAGTATACCAGGGTATACACCACCGTCAGTATACCAGGGTATACACCACCGTCAGTATACCAGGCTATACACCACCGTCAGTATACCAGGCTATACACCACCATCAGTATACCAGGCTATACACCACCGTCAATACACCAGGCTATACACCACCATCAGTATACCAGGCTATACACCACCGTCAGTATACCAGACTATACACCACCGTCAGTATACCAGGCTATACACCACCGTCAGTATACCAGGGTATACACCACCATCAATACACCAGGCTATCCACCACCGTCAGTATACCAGGCTATACACAACCGTCAGTACACCAGGCTATACACCACCGTCAGTATACCAGACTATACACCACCATCAGTATACCAGGGGTATACACCACCGTCAGTATACCAGGCTATATACCACCGTCAGTACACCAGGCTATACACCACCGTCAGTATACCAGACTCTACCCCACCGTCAGTATACCAGGGGTATACACCACCGTCAGTATACCAGGGGTATACACCACCGTCAGTATACCAGGCTATACACCACCGTCAGTACACCAGGCTATACACCACTGTCAGTATACCAGGGTATACACCACAGTCAGTATACCAGGGGTATACACCACCATCAGCATACCAGGCTATACACCACTGTCAGTATACCAGGAGTATACACCACCGTCAGTATACCAGAGTATACACCACCGTCAGTATACCAGGCTATACACCACCGTCAGTACACCAGGGTATACACCACCGTCAGTATACCAGAGTATACACCACCGTTAGTATACCAGAGTATACACCACAGTCAGTATACCAGGCTATACACCACCGTCAGTACACCAGGCTATACACCACCGTCAATACACCAGACTATACACCACCGTCAATACACCAGACTATACACCACCGTCAGTATACCAGAGTATACACCACCGTCAGTATACCAGAGTATACACCACCGTCAGTATACCAGAGTATACACCACCGTCAGTATACCAGGGGTATACACCACCATCAGTATACCAGAGTATACACCACCATCAGTATACCAGAGTATACACCACCGTCAGTATACCAGAGTATACACCACCGTCAGTATACCAGGCTATACACCACCGTCAGTATAACAGGGGTATACACCACCGTCAGTATACCAGAGTATACACCACCGTCAGTATGCCAGGCTATACACCACCGTCAGTACACCAGGCTATACACCACCGTCAGTATACCAGAGTATACACCACCGTCAGTATACCAGGGTATACACCACCGTCAGTATACCAGGCTATACACCACCGTCAGTATACCAGAGTATACACCACCGTCAGTATACCAGGCAATACACCACCGTCAGTATACCAGGCTATACACCACCGTCAGTATACCAGGCTATACACCACCGTCAGTACACCAGGCTATACACCACCGTCAGTATACCAGGGTATACACCACCGTCAGTACACCAGGCTATACACCACCGTCAGTATACCAGGCTATACACCACCGTCAGTATACCAGGGTATACACCACCGTCAGTACACCAGGCTATACACCACCGTCAGTATACCAGGCTATACACCACCGTCAGTACACCAGGCTATACACCACCGTCAGTATACCAGGCTATACACCACCGTCAGTACACCAGGCTATACACCACCGTCAGTATACCAGGCTATACACCACCGTCAGTACACCAGGCTATACACCACCGTCAGTATACCAGGCTATACACCACCGTCAGTATACCAGGCTATACACCACCGTCAGTACACCAGGCTATACACCACCGTCAGTATACCAGGGTATACACCACCGTCAGTATACCAGGGTATACACCACCGTCAGTATACCAAGCTATACACCACCGTCAGTATACCAGGCTATACACCACCGTCAGTATACCAGGCTATACACCACCGTCAGTATACCAGGCTATACACCACCGTCAGTATACCAGGCTATACACCACCGTCAGTATACCAGGGTATACACCACCGTCAGTATACCAGGCTATACACCACCGTCAGTATACCAGGAGTATGAAGGGTAAAGGTCTCTCTGGTCCTCCGTGGCGACCCTGGCGGCGGCGACCTCCTCCCAGCGACCGTTCCGGCGGGGGACAGGTAGACTGTCTCTATGGACTCTATATATTGATTTATATTTATATATTTATTTATATATACAAGAGTTCTTACATTCTTGTACAGTTACAAGCAGGTGTTGCGAGTAAATCTTATACTCGCTCCATTATCTCATTATCTTAATAGCATAACTAATTAGCACTAATTACAGAAGCTACAATCCTTTCCCCAATTACAGGTAATACTCTTCTCACCTTGTTGGAGGGAGCTGAGGTGTATTCACAATATAAGCAGGCGATATGAGGAATAAAGGCACCACCACTTGGTCCGGGAGACATCTCCCGTCACGCAGGGTGCAGTCGTGCCTCCACAGATCTCCAGTATCAGCTCTTGATACTGGTGATGGCTCAAAAGGGCCACAACTTACGAGCTATTCATGCCCGTGCCACCTCTTGGGTGGCTTCATCTTCATCTTAACACATTCACAAGGGAGACATCTCCCGTCACGCAGGGTGCATTCGCACCTCCACAGATCTCCAGTATCAGCTCTTGATACTGGTAATGGCTTAAAAGGGCCACCACTTACGGGCTATTCATGCCCGTGCCACCTTTTGGGTGGCTTAATCTTCATCAATCAATCATCGGAATGAAGGACAGTACAATTTCCAGTCAAGAATGTAGCACTCGGCGTAGGCAGTTTTAATCGTCTACAAGACGCTACAGCTTCGACACAGAGCAGGCAACAGACTAGGACCTCATCCAGCTACAACGCTCTCGCTCCACGAGTTCAGACACTCACAATTCCCCATTGAGCCGCCACGCTCTCCCACATAGAGCTCCGCGACTCCGGCCACACTCAGCTCTCTGCTCTGCTCCAGGCTTCGTCTCAACGTCTACGACACTGCTGTATCCAGGACTACTAAATAAATATGAAACTCACTAAACACTGTGTATCTAATCTACCCAACAACGTAACATAATCGTACGTTACATTGGTTTATCTTTACGGGATACACTCTAGCCCGTGCTTCAGGGACATTACGTTCTGAGGAACTAAATCTAAAAGATCCTCGAGGTCCATTCACCACCAAAGACCGCATTCACTCCAAAACCGATAAACTCCACAGTTACTCCACTTGCGGGCTATTCATGCCCGTGCCACCTCATGGGTGGCTTAATCTTCATCAATTAATCAATCGAGGTCCATCCCTTCCCTCCCTTCCCCCCCCCCAAGGGTGGAACTACTGACCCTCTCCCAGAATGCAACCTCACAGTAATTGACTAACACCCGACTAACTCTCCTCCCGTCTGCCCGAAACGCTGCGCGTGCTAGTGGCTTTACAAGACTGTAATTACCATATTTGTATCCTCACATTCCTTATGTACATTCTTGTATATGCATAAATAAATAAATAAATAAATAAATAACTCCCGAGTACCTAATTACTGCTGGGTGAACAGGTAGATTAGGTGATAGGAAACGTGGCCTCGACGGGGGACAGGCAGCCCTGAGGGTCACCATCTTTAGTGGCCTCGACGGGGGAAGGCAGCCCTGAGGGTCACCATCTTTAGTGGCCCCGACGGGGGACAGGCAGCCCTGATGGTCACCATCTTTAGTGGCCTCGACGGGGGAAGGCAGCCCTGAGGGTCACCATCTTTAGTGGCCTCGACGGGGGAAGGCAGCCCTGAGGGTCACCATCTTTAGTGGCCTCGACGGGGGAAGGCAGCCCTGAGGGCCACCATCTTTAGTGGCCTCGACGGGGGAAGGCAGCCCTGAGGGCCACCATCTTTAGTGGCCTCGACGGGGGAAGGCAGCCCTGAGGGCCACCATCTTTAGTGGCCTCGACGGGGGAAGGCAGCCCTGAGGGTCACCATCTTTAGTGGCCTCGACGGGGGAAGGCAGCCCAGAGGGTCAGCATCTTTAGTGGCCTCGACGGGGGAAGGCAGCCCTGAGGGTCACCATCTTTAGTGGCCTCGACGGGGGACAGGCAGCCCTGAGGGCCACCATCTTTAGTGGCGTCAACCTTCTATGAAGCTTTTAAGGTCAGGATTGGCATTACAGTTCAGCGTTTTATATATGTATAATACACATGAGAGAATGTGCAGTGACTTAATGTCTAACATATTCAGAGATTTGAGTAGGGGTACCGAGTGATGTCTGGGGTCCAGAGTTGGATATTGTCCTAATAGCAGCTTTGTGTTGAGTAATTAGAGGACGTAAATGATTTTGGGTAGTAGAACCCCAAGCACAAATACCATAGTTGAGATATGGATAGATGAGGGAGTAATAGAGAGTCACCAGGGCAGGGCGTGGTACATAATATCTGATCTTAGAAAGAATGCCAACAGTTTTTGAAACTTTTTTGATATATTTAGAATGTGTCCCTGGTCCCTGTAAGGTAAGACTGAAGGTACTGCAGGGAGTGTCCTCTGACTCCATAATGATGTAATTTAAGAAGAAGGTTTTGGTGGTTGACAGTGTCAAAAGCCTTACGCAGGTCCACAAATAACCCAACAGGGAACTCATTTTTATCAAGAGCTGCATGTATCAAGTTAATCATACTAATAAGTGCATCGTTAGTGCTTTTTTAGGGTCTGAAACCATATTGGCAAGAGCTAAGTATATTGTGTTTGGCTAGATAAGAGTAACGCTGCTTGTAGATTAGCTTTCAAATATTTTTGACAAGTTTTGCAGGATAGATATAGGTCTGTAATTGTTGACATCAGTGAGATCACCACATTTGTGGACAGGGGTTACTCTCTCTTTTTTTTTTTTTTTAGAATATCTGGAAAAGTTTGGAGTTCAAGTGACTTGTTGAAGATCAATGCAATGGCAGGGGCTAGAAATCTGGAGTTTTTTTTTTTGTAAATTAGAGATGGTATCTCATCAAGGGCGCTTGACTTAGTTTTAAGGGAAAGGATTACCTCATTAACATCAGAGGAGTTAGCAGGAGTTAGGTACAGAGACTCTGGATAGTTACCTGTAAGGTAGTCTTTAATATTAGTGAGTGAGGATGGAATATCATGAGCAAGGGATGTTCCAATGGATGAAAAGAACCTATTGAATTCAATAGCAGTGTCAGAGGCTGAAAGCACACCATCGTCATTGGATAGGAGAATTGGTTTTTTATTCAAAATATTTTTTGATCCTAATATTTGGAAGATAGTGCTCCATGTTCTCTTAATGTTGCTCTTAATTTGGGTAAATTTATTTTAGTAGTATTGTATTTTTGCTCTTCTAATTATTTTAGACAGCAATGATGAGTAAATCTTTGAAAATTCTTTGGAGACAACTCCTAACCTATACTTCTTCTCTAGGTCATGTTTTTTATTAATAGATTTAAGTATACCCTTTGTAAGCCATGGAGTTAAACAATGCTGTTTGTTCACCAACTTGTACAATTGCTGATTTCTGCCATGTCCCCCCCCCCCTTTTTTATTTGTTATTCCTTTTTTCAACACAATTTATACCTAATCCCAATTACTATTAAGCTTTAGTCTAAAAAAAAAGTGTTCACTACCTCTATCTTTAAGTCCATTATGTTTGTAAATCAACTATGTATGTACTTTTCCTGAATAAAAAATGATTTATTTATTATATTTATTATTTATAAAGGAAATATGTGCCCAACCATTTCTGTCCCGCCTGGGATTCGAACCCGGACTTCGTCGAGAACGAAGCCGACTGTACTACCGAGAGCCTCTTGTCGTAGGTCCGCCATTTGCCTCAACAAAATAAATATTTGGTCGTGGACAAGCATGTTAATGTTCTGTGATGATCTCTGGCCATATTAGGTTAAATACAGTCATTAATAAGTAACAAATGTAATATGTCAAGATAAGAAGATATCTTAATAATAATAATTTATAAAATTATTATTATAAATAAATTATAAATATAAATAAATTATAACAAGTTATAAGTTATTATTATTAATAAGAAAGGTGTAAATGGTCGCTGGCAAGTGTTTGTTGACTCAATGTTTAGATTCCTGTTATTCCCGTCGCTTCGTCACCGGCGTGTATTCCTCTATGTTGGCCCGCTCTCCCTTGTGCTTATTAGCCCGCTGCCACTACGATGTCTCGGCCGACTCTCCCTGGCCTTACCTGAAGGGCTACCATCTCTCTATTGGTCGCCAAGGGGTCAGGGAAACCGGGGGCTTGTCAAAGATCCTTTGCATTTTTCCTGATGAATTTATCGGGATATTTAGAGCTGGAGTTTAACAGAGTTCTGGCATACACGCGGTCCCCGTGGCGCTGTGGTGAAACACTCGCCCGGCGCTTCGCCAGCACTTTGGTCTGGGTTCGTATCCTGGCCGGGGAGGATTGACTGGGCGCCAATCCTTAACTGTCGCCTCTGTTCACCCAGCAATAAAATGGGTACCTGGTTGTTAAATAATTTAGCGGGTCGTATTCCGGGGAAAATTAGGATTAAGGACCTGCCCGACACACTACGCGTGCTGGTGGCATTACAACCATGTAACAACTCTTGGATATATTCACACAGTGAATTATTATTATTATTATTGTATTTATATATCCAGGTTTCGTGTGCAGCGGTCCGTGGCGGGAACAGAGTGAGGGCAGGACCCCATTGATTGATTGATGAAGATTAAGCCACCCAAAAGGTGGCACGGGCATGAATAGCCCGTAAGTGGTGGTCCTTTTGAGCCATCACCAGTATCAAGAGCTGATACTGGAGATCTGTGGAGGCGCGACTGCACCCTGCGTGACGGGAGATGTCTCCCGTGTGCAGGACCCTTCTTCCGTCACTATTTTTTGTATTACATTCGTCAAGAATGTAATTACTATCTATGTATCCTCACAATCCCAATATACCTTCTATATATATATATATATATATATATAAATATATATATATATATATATATATGCCACCCAGTACTGCCCACACTGCGCCTGCAATTGTCTCTTCTTTTCCCATCAGAAACCCCTCCACTTTTCTTTCGAAAAGCAGTGGTCATTTTCCAGGATATTAAAGTCTTACCTACAAGTAATTATCAAAAAAAGGCACCAAAC